TAATAAAAGGGGACAGGGTTGGGTAATATTAGGGGTGGTTTTGGACATATGGGTTTGGGTTATTTGTGAGGGACATGGGCAGGAATGAGTGGCTAGTGGTGGGTCAAGGTTTTGGCTCTTTGTGGGTGTTTATGTTGGGATTGTGAAGTGTATTTTGGCCAGGGGATGAATGGAATAAAGGGAGGGTTTTATTTGTTTAATAAAAGGCTTAAAAGAAGGAAATTAACAACAAACAAACGGTTTTGGTTTGCACACTCTTATTTTCGGCCAGAGGCTAAAATAAGAGTAATAAAAACTTTATTTTGAAATGAAGTTAATGGCAAGGAGTTTTGGATATTTTGGGTTGGGTTGGACGGAGTGGGAGTCGGCATGTGGAAGCCTTGGGTCCGAAGTTATTCTGGCCTCTTGGGTTGAAGGACTCGAATTCTCACTAAAACGGATCATAATGTTTAAACGTAGGTCCTCTGGTTTTTGCAAGGGTGTGGGACATGGGGGAGGGTATGATAGGGCCAGGCCCGAATATAACATCCTCCCGGTCTTCAAAAGAGTTTGTCCTCAAACTCGGAAGATGTTCAAAATCCTCGTACGGGCTAAGATCTCTTCGATGAAGTGTGGCATCAACTTTTACGCCTCGTGTAAGATCGACCACTTAGGAGTTTTTGTGAACCTTTGCCAACACTTCAAACAGACCATCGTCTTGGGGTTGTAGCTTTGACTTGCGTTTATTGAATAAACGCGCCTTATGAACGTGAACCCATACTAGGTCGCCGGGCTGAATGGACCATTTCGAGTCATGACTCTTCTCAACCTTCTTTTCATACAGGGCCTGCAAAAACTCAACACGTTTGGTACGAAGTACTGTTAACAAAGATAGGTCTCGAGCGGAGGTTTCCGCGTCAGGAGTGACGACTTCTTCGTGGGTCTTCTCTTTTTGCTCTTCTTCTTTTATCTTTGTAACCCAAAACGGGTTATCCTCTGCGTCTTCAAACACTTCTTCATTCTCTTTGACAAGTTCTTCATCCCAAATGGGATCATAGTCCTCGTCATCGTATTCATCCCAAATGATCTTTGGGGCAGTGGGCTGCATGGTTTCGGTAGCTTGAGAAGAAGGTAGTTGGGACTTAGAAAAATGGGGAGCAACGGTGGGGGTTTGAACCATGAAGAAAGATGACTCTTCAAGGGTACTTTTGAAGGTTTGTGGTAGGCTTAAAGACATGACTTTGGGAACGGATTGGGGTGGGGACATTGGACTGGAGTTGGGGGTGTGATGGGCAGTGGTTAAGAGGGGTAAAGGCATGGTTTTAGATTGTTTTTCAAGTGGGGGTGTAGGGGTAGGCGTGGGAATGGTTAGGGCAGTTTGTGGAGGGATGAGGGGCAAGGTTTTGGAAGAGTTAGGAGGCAGGGGTATTGAGAGGGTTTTGGGGTTCTTTTGGGCAGGGGTTAGAGACAAAAAAGAGGTGGTTATTGAGGAGTATTGGGGCATGGGTATTGAGGTGATATTGGGGACAATTTGGGCAGTAGTTGTGGAAGGTAATGGCATGGTGTTGAGTGGTTTTTTAGCCGTAGGTGTGGGAGAGGTTTGGGGAATATTTTGGGGAATATTTTGGGCAGTAGCTAAGGAAGAAACAAATATTTGTTTAGGTGGTGTTTGAAATGTAGGTGTGGGTGATGGAATGGGGATGGTTGTGGCCGGGTGTAGGGTGCTTGCTCTTGGTGTTTTTGGAGTGGCTTCATGGGGTAGTTTTTGTGGAGACAAAGGCATGGTTTGGATATGAGTTTTAAAGAGGTTTGGGGGAACCATGTGATGGCAATCTCTCGGCAAAAATCTCTGTTGGAACACAAGTTTACGCCTACGTCGTACTAAACTATGTTTGTTTCTATGATAGGTTTTGATAATGCCAAACCGCCGTGACATAACAAGGCTAAAGAGAACAAAAACCAAGGCGAAGGAACATGGCATGATGGTTTGAGAACCAAGAATCCAGAATCAAGAACGAAGAATTAGATTTGTATTGAGTCGGTCTTAATGTGATCAAGACCGGCACAAACTTTCAAAACTTGGCTCTCTAGGCTCATTTCATCAAAACTCTTTTTATAAACTCAAAAATGTTTTACATAAGTTTAAATCTACCCAAAAACACTTGGAGTTCGCCTAGACCAAAAACCAAGCCATCCGGCATTCGGTTTTCAGAAACCGGCGTTCGGCTCTCAGTTTTCGGCATTGGTTTTTAGCATCCGAACCAACCAAGTGGTTTCAACTTTTTATGACTGGTTTTTACTACTGGGCACATTTAAATAGTTCTCCAACAAAAACGCCTCAAAAACCATCTTCCGTTTTTGGTCGTTTATTGAAAACCATGCGAAACGGCGCGAACTTGGCTAGTCGTGGTTTTCAACTAAATGACGTGGTTTTTAAGATGTTTCACTTGATTTCTTAGCAAAATGCAATAATCAAATGTTTTCTAAACTTGGTTTTTATTTTGGAGAACTTGCATTTTTGACATCGGCTAACGGCGTGACTAAACCAACCATGGGTCTGGCTAAACCAGCCCAACAGCGATGTTGAGGTAATCAACAGCGCTGTCTGGCCTGGGTAGCTAAAAACATGGTTTGGCGTTAAGTCCTCCAACAGCGATGTTGGACATTAGACATCGCTGTTGAGCCAAGGTTGGAATTCTAGAAACTTCTTGAACAGCGATGTAGGCTTCCCTACAGCGCTGTCCGACCTAAGCCAAAAATATAGTGCATTGGCAGAAAGTTTCAAGACAGCGATGTTGACCCAGCAACAGCGCTGTCAGGCCAAACTTCCATCTTCAAAGTCAGACCTAAACAGCGATGTTTAAGTTATGAACATCGATGTAGGGACCTGACCGTTGGAAGAAATTTAAGGCTAAAACTTTCCTTGTTTGGAAGTCAACAGCCAAAACAGCGATGTAGGGGTATTGGACATCGCTGTTGGCATGACCGTTGCTTCCCAATTTTTAAAAACCAAGCCTAGAACAGCGATGTCCAAGCCTAGGACAGCGCTGGCTGGGTGAATTTCAGCAGATCCAAATTTAATCAAATCCCACAAATTGTGCCAATCACCCCTTAAATGTTTTGGTCCGTTGGAGCCTATTTTTCCACTATAAAATGGGGTGTTTGGGTCTGTTTTCATCATCACATAACTTCACAACTTCTACTCTTTCATTGCAAATCATTCATCACTTTTTCATAGCTTTTTGAGAGCCATTTTTGTGAAGCTTGTGTTGCGTTCTTGAGCGTACTTAGTTACTCATTATCCACTCTAAAAGAGAGTATTGTTCTTGAGAGTTTTTTTTGTGTTCTTAGACACTTGACAAGAGAAAGTATTTCTCTTGTTGTTCGAAGGAAGGGTTGTTTCCTTCGAAGGTTTGTTGAGGTTCGTGTGACTCGAACTCTCAAGTTGTACGGGTTTGTTAAGCACCGTTAAGCTTAACGAGATAGTAGTGTAGCTCGAGAGAGTCTCTCGGGAGGCTGGATTAGCCACAAGTTGTGGTGAACCAGGGTAAAATCGGTGTGCCTCTTACTCTTCTCTTTACTTCTCGTTTATTCATTTTTATTCCTGCGATTTTTGATCAAACGCTATTCACCCCCCCTCTAGCGTTGGTCT